ATTCCGTTTTATATGAATTCCATGTTGTACGAGTCACTTAGATTTTACAAATACGTGAGCCGTTTACAACCCGGCACACGTATTTGTAAAATCTAAGTGACTCGTACAACATGGAATTCATATAAAACGGAAAAATCAACAGTGTTATAGGAGGGGGTCGACTGTATTAATTATTTAAAAAATATATATATAATTTAAGATTAAGAGATGAAAGTAACATATTACCCATTTTATTTTTTAGATAGAAAAATTTTAAACTTATTATATTATGTTGTATTAGTGTAAAATAGTGCAAAATTATTAGATATTTTATTAATAGAGTTTAATAGAACGAAACTTACCTTTATAAGGGTGTGAAGATCGAATATATCAAGCAGAAACCGTTTTTAATTTATAGCTTTTATAAATAGGTTTACCTGTATCCTATATCCGTGACCTAAATAAGGTAAATGAGGTTTCAAATTACGATCATATGGGTAGAAATCTCTTTATTTTTTATATTAAATTTACATTACAATTCATTAACTCTACCCACAAAGAGAATCATTCTATTCTTCTCATTAATTATGAAGAATAGAAAGGGATGATCAGCACGAAAGTAACTTACAGTAGCAGCTGATCTAGGTTCGTATTCTAAATCTGTTACGAAAGCAGCTTCTGTACCGTTCTGGTTTACGTTCACAACTATTTTTTGGTAGATTTTTGATACAAATAAATTCGAACCTTCATCACATATGCCGGATAAATCGGAAGAATCTTCACGAAAGACACTGTTCATGCCTAATCCATTCAAAAATTCTTTCATTTCTGTAGAGTATTCAAGCCTAAAACTCGGCAACAAAATTTTTATCATGGTTTCTTTCATATTTTTAAGAATTTCTGTCATATCTTTAAGTGAAATTTGCTGCTCTAAATCTCTAATTCCATCTAATTCATTGGGCAATAATATTAACATGCTAATATCGCCTCCATAGTAAGAAAGTTTAACAGCTTCCATCTTTGCATATTTCACATAAGGTACGTTATGATGTAGAATCATCATTTTAACGTACTTATTGGAAGCTTTATTGCCATTATTGTAGAAAGGTAAAGATAGAATTAAATCCCGTGCGAAAGGATTCTGCCAAGATCCTTTAAAGTAAATGGCATTTAACATAAGTAACTTTGTAGAAGGTGAAGGGCGTTTTGTTAAAAAAGTCGAGATCTTATTATTAGTATTTTTAGCCACCCACGTGTTAATTTCACGCAGAATTTCATCCGAATTTCTTGAGAAATTGACGTTCTTCAGTAAGGTTTCGTAGTAAAACTCCAAGTCGTCATTATATCGTTGCAAAATATGAAAACCGGACTGTACCATAAGTGCATTAGCCATTCTAAATATGTATTTATGTTCGGTAGTGGCTTGTAGGTTTAAAATTAATTGTTTAAACGACGAATGGAAATGTTGCAAATCAACTCTTGCTTTTTTATATCCTAGAACGTCCTCCATTTCTTCAGCAGTTTGACCTCTCGCTCCTAAATACAACATTGCCAGCGACGTTGATAAACCAGCTGGTGAAACCAATATATTTCCCACTTCTTTAGCCATTCTTCTATATAAATTAACAGAAAATATGTTGTTGGCGATTGCCAAACTGGAGAGATTAGCCTTGCAACGGTCTAGAGTCGAAGAAGTTGCTACTAATATGCATAACACAGTTAGTGTTAAATGTATTTTCCTCATTATCAAACACTGGAATACAGCCGAGATAAAGCTGAATTGTCTCATAAACTGTCAGTTTATGAGGAAATTCAGCCGGTAAATGTGATAATTGCTGTGAAATTACCAATTAACCGGTGTCGCGAGTGATACTTTGAAAGTGTCAGATGAAGTATAAATACAAATAAATTATATTTTACATAAAAAATTTATCATGCTTAATCAACAGTTTGTCGCCCTAAATTAGCATTACGCTATTGTCCTTGTTTAAATTAGTGTCAATAGTCATAGTGGCTAGAAAAGTAAAATTATCATTTAATTTAATTAGTTATAAAGGCAAACTAGGTAAAGAGTATGTAGGTGGGAAGCTGTAATAAAAATAAAGATAAAACTGTAACGTGGTTTCAGATTCATGTGAAATTAAATAGAAAACATAATTTAATGAATAAAAATTATTAACCAGAAAATTGATGGGTTATTTACAACTAAAAGGGCCATCAGTGGCCAAGCGGTTCCATTCCTTGAACACTGGGAGTTCGTGTCTCGCCAGGACATGCTGGCCGCGTGGAGTTTACCGGATTTTCTTCAACGCTTGAATAAGGCCCTTAAAAAGACCTTCCGGAAGGCATCTCTCTAGCCAGATCGCCCAAGCGTTGCGTTGCCATAACTTAAACAAAACTAAAGGTGGAATTGTAATTCACCTGTTGGAGAAAAACATTTCGGTTGGCCTTATTTTCATCCATCTTTAAAACATGAGCACGAGTTTTAGGTTATAATATATAATGGTGCAGGATGTCGAGTCTGGAGGACCCGTGTTCGAGAACGGTTCGGGATCTTCAGGAAGTTTTTATGGGAGGTCTGTCCTAAATTTTTCGGGCTGTGTCCTTCACACACCCAGGCTATCTTGGCCTGGCGAATCCACGATGCGCATGTTTAAAAAGGCCCGGTTACTGCCCGCAAAGCGGAAACGTCAAAAATGAAAAGAAAGTAGTAGCGATTGTTATAATTGTTCGTGAACAGGTATTCATATTTGCATGAAAATCTATGATGATTTATATATGTTTGTATATTGCAACGCAACTCGCGGGAAATCTGTCGAGGGGACGTTCTATGGAAATTGGCCCTATTTAGGTGTTACAGGAATGAAGAAAACCGGAAAATTTCAAGTGGCCGCTCGTTTAGCCAGGTGCGAACCCACGACAAACTATTATTATTCTGTTGTTTTATAGACTCGGCTACTGGTGGGCCATAAATTATATATGAAAAATTCATTGGTATTTTTTATGTTTTTGTCAAACCTCATTATATACATATTTAAAGAAATAATAGAGAATTTACAGAACTATCTTGGCTCATACTTTATCATTTATGTTAGTACTAATTTTTTAAATAATTAACTCTACTATTATTAAATCAACAAGCAAATCTAGTTTTATTGGAATCTATTAAATTTACAGCTTAGTTGACAATTTATGGTTTGTCCACACTTCCCATAAATAGTATCAATTTGCTTCTATTATCTACGATATAAAACAGGAAGGGGTGATTTGCATGGAATTGTTCAACACGTGGGTTCACTATGATGCTTACTGGTACAATTACCACTCCAGTTACCCCAGCAGCTTCGCTTCCTTCCTCATTAACCTCTATGACAGCTTTGTGTACCACTCGATCCACGTACAAATTTCTACTTCCTGTCATTCCAGACAAATCGGCATCCCGACCGAATAAACTTTTAAATCCAAATCTCTCTAAATCTTCTTTTAGTTCTCGAGAATATTCAAATTTAAATTTTGGAAGAGTGACGTTTACCTCACTTTTTCTAAAATGAGTGAAGAAATTTTTGAAAATATCGTTGGACATTTCTCTCTTCAGCCTATCTACACCATCTCTTTCGTAAGGGAGAACAATCAACATGCTGATGTTCTTTCCATCGTAGGGCAGTTGCAGCACCTTGTAACGCCTGTGCGGATTGTCCAAGTATGGGAAATTATCCTTTATTGTCATCATGGGTGCAACCACTGCGTTATCTGCTCCGTCGTAGTAAAATGGCTGCTGAACGGTTTTGTCAGTTTTGAAAGGCTTAGCCCATAATCCTTTGAAGTAAACGGCATTTAGCAAGACTAAGCGCGTAGCGGTATCCAATGTGTCGACGAGTTCTGTTATTTTTCCATGCGTTTTCTCAGAAACCCATCCGTTAACTGTTCGTATGGCTTCGGCGTTGTCTCTAACAAAGTCCACTTCTTTGACCAGAGAATCGTAGTATCTCTGTAAAGTCTGCTTATATTCTGTCAGGATGGGATAATCAGCCTGAGTAATCAGAGCATTAGCGATTTCGAGCGTATATTCCGAACCGTTGCTTCTCAGATGATTGAACAATCTGTGGTACACTTGAGGAACACCGAGGTGCAAAGCCTCGACAAGAACATAACCTGGCATGCCTAATTCTACACGCGTTTGGCCTTTGGCTGCTATGAAAATCTGGCTCATTGCAGTAGAGATGCTTAGAGGAGAAATGAAGACGTTCTTCTGATCTTGGCTTATGTTTCTGAAGAAATCGAAACCGAACATGACATTGTTAACCATGGAAACGGTGTCTATGACAAATTCAGGCGTGTACGCATCTGCAGCAAAAACCGTAAGTAGTATGGACAGAAACGAATACCAGCGAGCCATTTTGAACCTGAATAAGAATGCAGGAATTTATATATAAATTTTAATTCTGTAGAGAATTAAGATTTTGACTATGGATAAAATTACCTGGTTCGATTGCGACTCGGTTAAATAGCGAAGTATTTACGAAAATATGTAGTTTATATAATGAATTTTTATCTCTTTTTGTCTGAAGATAGTTAAATTTAGTAATATTCCACATGTTCAGTTCTCAGGTTGTTGAAGGGCATTAAAATGTGTTTATATTCAAGGCCATCTAACAGATATCGCGTAATATTTGAAAAATTTATTATACCACAAAGGATATAAAATTATAATTTATTGTTAGAGTATATAAATTTTGATTATTTTGAATTTCTATGTAAGAGAGAGAGAGAGAGAGGTAATTGAAATCTTTATTTTACAATTTATTTCAATACATTTGAATGGAAACTATCTTGACTAGGAATTTTGCTATCTTTATGAAGTTACTTGTAATTGATAATTGATAATGTTATATTTATTGTGTAATTAAAGATATGAGAATAATAAATTTTATGATTTATTTGTCGAAACTTATATTTTTGTTTATGAATTAACTAGCAGATAAGCCCAACTTTGTTTGGGCAAAAAGTAAGAATAGCGAAGATTAAGATATTTACATTATAGCCAATCTTACCCGTTTTCACAGAATGGAAGTAACACCAGTGGCCAATTTTGGTGGTTTGTTTCAATACTGCGTTTGTGGCAAATAGATTCAAATAATGGGTCTAAAAATATTTTCGATGTTTCGCAAAATCGCAAAAAACCGCATTTGCGCCTGTAAATCTTGCACGCTGCTTTCTCTTAACACTTCCATTGTTACTCAACACTTCCATTCTTAACACTTCCATTGTTAACACTCCCATTCTAGCACTTCCATTCTTAACACTTCCATTGTTAACACTCCTATTGCTAGCACTTCCATTCTTAACACTTCCATTGTTAACACTTCCATTGTTAACACTTCCACTATTAACACTTCCATTGTTAACACTTCCATTCTTAACACTTCCATTGTTAACACTCCCATTGCTAGCACTTCCATTCTGAACACTTCCATTGTTAAGGAATACACATGTTTCATCCTCACGTGGTACCCTACTAAAGCGCAGTTAAAAACAAAAAATTGCATCTAAAATAGTACAGTAGAAGCTGAGTTCTTTAGGATAAACCTTAATCCTCTTCCTCTCTCTCCTGTGGGGGGAATATACGCTCGAAATCGCTAATGCTCTGATTACTCAGGCTGATTATCCCATCCTGACAGAATATAAGAAAACTTTACAGAGATACTACGATTCTCTGGTCAAAGAAGTGGACTTTGTTAGAGACAACGCCAAAGCTGTACGAACGGTTAACGGATGGGTTTCTGAGAAAACGCATGGAAAAATAACAAAACTCGTCGACACGTTGGATGCCGCTACGCGCTTGGTCTTGCTAAATGCCGTTTACTTCAAAGGATTATGGGCTAAGCCTTTCAAAAAAGACAAAACCGTTCAGAAGCCATTTTACTACGATGGAGCAGAAAACACAGTGCTTTGCACCCATGATGACAAATGTGAATGCACAATTCACAATGTTGACCTAGTTATTTATTACTAGCAGATAAGCCCGGCGTTGCTCGGGCAAAAAAGTAACGATAGCGAAGATTAAGATTACAGTAGAGCGTCGTTTATCCGAATGAATTGGGGACTCGGGTTGTTCGGAAAATCGATATTTCGGATAACCGATTATGCACGAAAAAATATATTAACCTATTCCATGTTGAAATTTTTCTCCGTTGCGTGTCGCTTCGCGTTGAATTTTCGTTGATGTTAAGCCTAACGTAAACTTTTTAAAATAATAACCGTGGCTATTGTATCGTTAAAAATTATTTTTATATTTTGTACAAACAAAATAAATATATTGAAAAATATATAAAAAAAAAAAAAAATTATACTTTAGAAGTTGATCTAGTATCAAAAACGTTCGATTCGGCACGACACAAAGTCCTCAGAAAAACACAACACAAAAGTGCCAGTGCTGCCAGCTAAAACACACACATCAACAAAAAAAAATTGGAGTAGCCCAAGATATAGCCAAAGATTGCAGTGCCACAGTACTAGCGAAAATTTAAATTTGCCGACTGGAATTCTTTCGGATAATTGACTTTCGGATAAACGACGCTCTACTGTATTACATTACAGCCTATCTTACCCTTAGTGAAACCTAATTCTTGCATTCTGTTAATGCAAGAATTAGGTTTCACTGTTTCCAGACTAATTAATTTTTAAATGGGACTAAAAATATGTTCGATTTTCCGCAAAAAACCGCATATTTGTCTGTAAATCTTGCACGTCGCTTTCTCCTAACACTTCCATTATTGTCACTTCCATTCTTAACACTGCCATTGTTGACACTTCTATTGTTGACATGTCCATTGTTACTTAACGCTTCCTTTACATTCGTGGCTTCTGAGGTTGTGTGGCACTCTGGGAGTGACGATTGCCAAATTGGCAGTGTGGCGCACTGGCGATTGCCAAATTGGAGAGATTATTCTTGCAATGGTCTAAGAACTTGCTACTAATATATATAACACAGTTAGTTTTAAATGTATCTCCCTCATTATCAAAGACAGGAACACAACCGACATACAGCTGAATTGTCTCGTAAACTGTCAGTTTATGAGGCGATTCAGCCAGTAAATGTGATAATTGCTGTGAAATTACCAATTAACCGGTGTCGCCAGTGATACTTTGAAAGTGTCAGATGAAGTATAAATACAAATAAATTATATTTTACATAAAAAATTTATCATGTTTAATCAACAGTTTGTCGCCCTAAATTAGTATTACGCTATTGTCCTTGTTTAAATTAGTGTCAATAGTCATAGTGGCTAGAAAAGTAAAATTACCATTTAATTTAGTTAGTTATAAAGGCAAATAGGTAAAGAGTATGTAGGTGGGAAGCTGCGATAAAAATAAAGATTAAACTGTAACGTGGGTTCAGATTCATGTGAAATTAAATAGAAATGTAATTTAATGAATAAAAATTATTAACCAGAAAATTGATGGGTTATTTACAACTAAAAGGGCCCATCAGTGTCCAAGCGGTTCCATTCTTTGAACACTGGGAATTCGTGTCTCGCCAGGACAGGCTGGCCACGTGGAGTTTACCGGATTTTCTTCAACGCTTGAATAAGGCCCTTAAAAAGACCTCCCGGAAGGCATCTCTCTAGCCAGATCGCCCAAGCGTTGCGTTGCCGTAACTTAAACAAAACTAAAGGTGGAATTGTAATTCACCTGTTGGAGAAAAACATTTCGTTTGGCCTTACTTTCATCTATCTTTAAAACATGCGCACGAGTTTTAGGTAATGGTGCAGGATGGTCGAGTCTGGAGGACCCAGGTTCGAGCCCGGATCGGGATCTTCAGGAAGTTTTTATGGGAGGTCTGTCCTAAATTTTTCGGGCAGTGTTCTTCACACCCAGGATATCTTGGCCTGTAGTGAATGTTATAATTGTTCGTGAACAGTCATGTTCCAGAACAGGTGTTCATATTTGCATGAAAATCTATGATAATTTATATAAGTATACGGTGAAAACTGCTTAGGCGATGATCACCTGCATTCGACGGGCACCTGTAAAAACGGGCAAAAATTTCTGGCATCCAATAGTTTGTTCATAGTTTTCGTATACAGTAAGTTACCTGTATTAAACGACCACCTGTGTAACGCGTCCGCGGGCCTCGATTTTTGGTACGGAACAACATACAACTGTAATAAGCGACCATCTGATAAGTATAAAATACAATACTAATATGGTCCTATCTTTGAAAAATAATCCGCTTATTTTCGCTCACCTCGAGTTTTGCCTAGTAGAAATGGCTAAAAAGTGCGCAAAATACGGTATTGCAGCACCACCTGTATTGGACGATCACCTGTCTAAACGACCACTTTTTGAAGGAAGCGTGGGTGGTGGCCATAGAGAGGTTTTACTGTATTTGTTTGTACTGTATATGGTAACGCAACTCACGGGCAATCTGTCAAGGGGACGTTCTATAGAAACTGACCTTATTTAGGTGTTACAGGAATGAAGAAAATCGGAAAACTTCGTGTCCAGGTGCGAACCCACGACCAACTACTATTCTGTCGTTTTATAAACTCGCCTACTGGTGGGACGTAAATTATATATGAAAGGTTCATTGGTATTTTTTATGTTTCTGTCAAACCTCTCTACTTTAGAAAGAGGTTTGACACTGTTAAAGAAATAATAGAAAATTTNCCCACGACCAACTACTATTCTGTCGTTTTATAAACTCGCCTACTGGTGGGACGTAAATTATATATGAAAGGTTCATTGGTATTTTTTATGTTTCTGTCAAACCTCTCTACTTTAGAAAGAGGTTTGACACTGTTAAAGAAATAATAGAAAATTTACAGAACTATTTTGGCTCATACTTTATCATTTATGTTACTAATAATTTTTTAAATAATTAACTCTACAATTATTAAATCAACAAATAAATGTAATTTTATTGAAATTTATTAAATTTACAGCTTAGTTGACAATTTATGGTTTGTCAACACTTCCCATAAATAGTATCAATTTGCTTCTATTATCTACGATATAAAACAGGAAGGGGTGATCTGCAAGGAATTGTTCAACACGTGGGTTTATTATGGCGCTTTCTGCTACAATTACAGCAGTTACCCCAGCAGCTTCGCTTCCTTCTTCATTAACCTCTATGACAGCTTTGTGTACCACTCGATCCACGTACAAATTTCTACTTCCTGTCATTCCAGACAAATCGGCATCCCGACCGAATAAACTTTTAAATCCAAATCTCTCTAAATCTTCTTTTAGTTCTCGAGAATATTCAAATTTAAATTTTGGAAGAGTGACGTTTACCTCACTTTTTCTAAAATGAGTGAAGAAATTTTTGAAAATATCGTTGGACATTTCTCTCTTCAGCCTATCTACACCATCTCTTTCGTAAGGGAGAACAATCAACATGCTGATGTTCTTTCCATCGTAGGGCAGTTGCAGCACCTTGGTTAGTTTTAAATGTATCTCCCTCATTATCAAAGACAGGAACACAACCGACATACAGCTGAATTGTCTCGTAAACTGTCAGTTTATGAGGAAATTCAGCTGGTAAATGTGATAATTGCTGTGAAATTACCAATTAACCGGTGTCGCGAGTGATACTTTGAAAGTGTCAGATGAAGTATAAATACAAATAAATTATATTTTACATAAAAAATTTATCATGCTTAATCAACAGTTTGTCGCCCTAAATTAGTATTACGCTATTGTCCTTGTTTAAATTAGTGTCAATAGTCATAGTGGCTAGNGTCAGGATGGGATAATCAGCCTGAGTAATCAGAGCATTAGCGATTTCGAGCGTATATTCCGAACCGTTGCTTCTCAGATGATTGAACAATCTGTGATACACTTGAGGAACACCGAGATGCAAATCCTCGACAATAAAATAACCTGGCATGCCTAATTCTACACGCGTTTGACCTTTGGCTGCTATGAAAATCTGGCTCATTGCAGCAGAGATGCTTAGAGGAGAAATGAAGACGTTCTTCTGATCTTGGCTTATGTTTCTGAAGAAATCGAAACCGAACATGACATTGTTAACCATGGAAACGGTGTCTATGACAAATTCAGGCGTGTACGCATCTGCAGCAAAAACCGTAAGTAATATGGACAGAAACGAATACCAGCGAGCCATTTTGAACCTGAATAAAAATGCAGGAATTGTTATATAAATTTTAATTTTATAGAGAATTAGGATTTTTGACTATGGATAAAATTACCTGGTTCGATTGCGAATAGTGAAGTATTTACGAAAATATGTAGTTTATATAATGAATTTTTATCTCCTTTTGTCTGAAGATAGTTAAATTTAGTAATATTTCACATGTTCAGTTCTGAGAAAGGCATTAAAATGTGTTTATATTCAAGGCTATCTAACAGATATCGCGTAAATATTACGCAATATCTGTTAGATATCGCGTAATATTTATTATATCACAAAGGATATAAAATTATAATTTATTGTTAGAGTAAATAAATTTTGATAACTTTGAATTTTTATGTAAGAGAGAGAGGTAATTGAAATCTTTATTTTACGATTTATTTCAATACCAGTTGACCCCGCTATAACACTGTTGATAATTCCGTTTTATATGAATTCCATGTTGTACGAGTCACTTAGATTTTATAAATATGTGTGCCGGGCTGTGAACGGCTCACGTATTTGTAAAATCTAAGTGACTCATATAACATGGGATTCATATAAAACGGAATTATCAACAGTGTTATAGGGGGGGTCGACTGTACATTTGAATGGAAACTGTATTTTGATTAGAAATTTTGCTATCTTTATGAAGTTACTTGTAATTGATAATTGATAATGTTATATTTATTGTGTAATTAAAGATACGAGAATAATAAATTTTATGATTTATTTGTCTAAACTTAAGTGTTTGTTTATGAATTAATTGTAGTTATAGAGGAGGTGCAAGTGACGTAACATGACTCAGCTCACATATACAGAGACTGCTGAAAGAAGCAAGCGCCATATTGGTTGCTGATTTGACGTTACCTTACTTGATTACTATTATGTCAACGTGAAAGATAGGAATTTTATCAGGCTTTGTAACCGATTTGACAGGTAATGATTTGATAAAATATAAAAAGAAAACTTATTTTATCGGAAGGGATCCAAACGAAATGAAACAAACGGATTTTTCTCTCAACGATTTAACCAAATGGCCAACTATAGACCATAGAGAGACAGTAAATTATTTGATTTTAACAACTAACGCTGTCACACTGGTTCAGATGAAGCAATACAAAATAGTAGTAGTGATTGTTATAATTGTTCGTGAACAGTTGATGTTCGAGAACAGGTATTGATATTTGCATGAAAATCTGTGATAATTTATATATGTTTGTTTGTATACGGCAACGCAACTCGCGGGCAATCTGTCAAGGGGACGTTCTATGGAAACTGGCCCTATTTAGATGCTACAGGAACGAAGAAAACCGGAAAACTTCAAGTGGCTGCTCGGTTTGCCAGGTGTGAACCCACGACCAACTACTATTGTTCTGTTGTTTTATAGACTCGGCTACTGGTGGGCCGATAAGTTATATATGAATAGTGTTACGACCCGTCCGGTTTTCACCCGGACAGTCCGGGAATTGACTCACTGTCCGGGTGAACTATTAATTTTGTCCAGGAATTTCGTAGAAATTTTGAAATTACGATAAAACAAAATTCTTGCAAATATTTTTACAAATTTACACTATTTTATTAACGAAAGAACTCACACTCACTGAAACTCATCTGCAATGTTAGTCTGTTTACGTAGACGTGCAACCTGTCGACTTTTTTTTTCATGTACGATCTCCACGTCTCTAATATTCAATAGAGCTAAGTCATCTGTACCTGTTCTTTCTTAATTTATTAAGGGTTACTTACGTCACTTGTACGCATGTCCCTAGTCCCTAACTTGTAACTGATTTAGAACCGGCATGCACGTTATTCTTCGAATTGTAAAATGACATTGCACACACGTCAGGAACTTCTGTTCGAACAAACCTGACCTGCCGTCCGGGTCATCGATTTTGAAAAGGTGGCAACACCATGTATGAAAGGTTCATTGGTATTTTTTATACTTCTGTCAAACCTCATTATATACAGTATATATTTAAAGAAATAATAGATAATTTACAGAACTATTTTGGCTCATACTTTCATCTGTATAATATCTAAATAGGGAGTAGTTTCTCAGAAAATTCTCTGAAGAAGTATCTTCCTTATCAGGTCTTTCAAGTGTGGAAGACTACCGGTGAGCTCTTCAATTCCCGTTTTTGCTGTCCAGCGGCACAATACTCCTACTGCTTGTGTCCCGGTCTGAGTAATCATCTCATACGAAAGTCGGTCCCAGCTAATAGTCGTACGAGGAACCATAAGGGTATATAGACGTATATCCAGGAAATTGTGCACTCTCACGTGTTGTCTTTCGTGACAGATATGCAAATGTCCAGCAAAATAGCGGTCGGTGTCGGGGTTTCCTTCCCAGGAATCTGATTCACTTTACTACACTTGTTCGGTCTGCCCGGTCTGCAGATTTGTAGTCCATTGATAAATTATGGCACCAGATGGATTGTCAGCCTAAATCTATCGATGTGTGGGTTCTGGAGCGGCAGTTGCAATATCTATGAACAAATCTTTCTCGATCCTATCGTTGGCGTATCCAGCCAGAGGAGGTCCTGCAAGGTACTAAAGGTCCTTTATTTCTTTTTTATTATTGTAATCAAGTATTACAATATTACGTTCCTACTAATAAATGAATAAGTTGAGTTTATATTATACTCATTGTGCATAAACGCTAGTTACCATGGACGTCTCAAGAGAGTGCAAACGAGGCATTTACCCTACTTGAGACCGATTAATGCTTAGAAGGGATGATAACTATACAAAGAATTTGAGTATCAACTGATAATAAACCGAAGGAAAAAATATCCATACACATTTCTATTGTCCAGTAAAGCGAAAATCAGTAAAGCAAACATTTATGTGTAAACCAAGTGTATTCAAAGTTTCTTTATACGTAATTTCAATTTCCTCAGAAAGAAATGAATAAGGCAAACTCATCTTAATTTCCGATAACCCCAAGAAATTTTTGGGGGGTGATCCGTTTCAGTCTCTCATCATCCATTCACCCATTGTTGGGATTTGCCCAACCTGTAATGGGCTTCTGAAAAAATGCACTCTTATTGCCCACAGGGCGAAAAGAGTTATGAAAAAAAGCTTCTGTTTTGAAAATGCAACACCTTTTGCAAGATTTTATTATTTGTATTGTTACTGTGATGTAACCAATCTTCCAATTTGACGAAACTGATTTGGCTTTAGTTTCGCCTCCTATAAGGTTTTACGAATTCCACATAATTCGGACGGTACCAGCGCCATTAAACTGGCCTCTACACTTCCTAGCTTTAAATGGTTAGGGAAATATGTTCACGATTGACTGCGCTACTGTTCTGTTCTTCGTGTTCTTCGCGTGTACCATGTATTTTGTTCTTCTGTTTTGAAGCTTAATAACTCCAGTGTCTTTTGCCAAATATCCCTGAAATTTTGCGAAGCGATTTGGGTATTAGGAGCATTTATGATGATATTAAATTTTAGTGGCTAAGGGTCAAAAGAGTTTGGAGCTAGAAAGGACCATGCTTCATATTTCGAACGGGGTCGGACTCAATGAAGATTTTATTTGTTCACAATTTAATCCAGATATAGACAAACTACTTTTAAAATAATTTATTAACTTTAACAATACATAAATTGTGCTATACAATTTTACTCGATTCGGTATAGTGAGAAATAGTATTTGGGATTAAATAGTTATGCATTTTTGACATGAGAAATTACATTTCTCGTAACACAATGGCTCTACATATTTTGGTAATTTATATAATATTCTGCACTATCGAAAGTAGAATATGAATGAAGATTTATTAATGTCCTACTACACCTGTCCTTTGTTTATATATGCCTAAAACATCACTGACATGTCTTTATTTCAAACGCCATGTCATCATTAACCTGTTCCTAACTTTTTTTTTGGCTCAATTTTAATATATATCTATCAACTTTGATACTACTAATCGGTGACGTTGGCGCAGTTACTTTTTTGTTCGGAGAAACCTTTAAGTTTCTTGAGACCAGAGAAGAAAGAGTGCAACGTACTTGCCATCTGCAATAAAAGCACATGTTATAGCATATATCTTTATAAATGTAAAAGTGATAGAATACGATGTGGGATAAGTAGATACAAATGTAAATATATTTATATTTTTTCATGAAAAGATATACAAAGTAAATACTAAATGAATAATGATAAAAACAAGTACAAAATATCGTGCATCTGATGTTCAAAAAATAAAGATAATAAGTACAGTAGACCCCACTATAACACTTTAGATAATTCCGTGTTATATGAATTTCATGTTGTACGAGTCACTTAGATTTTACAAATACGTGTGCCGGGGTTTGAACGGCTCACGTATTTGTAAAATCTAAGTGACTCGTACAACATGAAATTCATATAACACGGAATTATCTACAGCGTTTTAGGGGGTCTACTGTAAATTACACCTATTCATCGCTGTCTAGAGAGAGATATTTAAAAATAAAATGTAACTAAATTTGTTATAGTGACATTTCTGTATATGCGAAAAAATTAGACAATAGTTTAGCACTATGACCCTTTGGGCACTGGAAGTAACGAAAAAGCAATGTGATTTGAAGAAACCTTGGTCTCTATGATAATGGTTTAACACCTGAAAACGATTAACAATATGTTCAACTGCCAGCCATATTGATTTCCTGTAATACTTCTCAAATTGAGTGGTTTACTGTATTTCGAGTTTAAAATTTGTGATATGTTCTTGATAAAGAAGACTTTTTTAACTGTCTCTACATTGATTACAGCGCCTAAAGTACCATAGCGGTAAGTTTTGGACTAAGCTTTTGTTTAGAAACGTCTTAAGCACGCTCAGAAATACCACTGTACCAAAAGAAATTGCTAAATATCTCTCTTGTACACATCGATGAATAGGGATACTGTAGTTTAATTACGTATATTATCTTTAATATTACTAACACAGGCAAATTTTATTTAGTTTTAAAACAATACCAACTTTGAAAGGAATTCTCTTTGTAACTGGATAGATTCCACCAATTGTGAGACACAAAGAAACTTTTCCAAATCTTTTCATAAAGTTCAGAATCTGTAAAGAAATATTTATTAAAAGAT